GCCTTGTTTAGGGAAGTTTTTAATGTTTGATGCTTGATCACTTTAGTAGTAGTAGTAGTAATATTCTGCTGGGAGCCACCCAGAATGGCTGGGGAAACCCAGCCAGATGGGCGGGGTATAAATAAATGATGATGATGATGACGATGGAGGGCAGAGAAGAGTAACAGGGAGAGTTTCATTGCCAGGATCCCATTGACACAAGAATCCCAAGGAAGAAAATAATTCAGGAAATAATTTCACTCTTTCATCTGGAATGGAGGAATTTTGCCAGCTATGACAGCTAAGCTACCGACTCCAAAGACTGTCCAAAGGCGTCATGATTGGAGGAGCAACCGGCGATGCCTGAGGCGTTGACACGGCACTGAAACAAGTGAACATTACTGAAGATGTTTGGATGAATATTCATGGCGCACCCTTTGCAGCAAGCTACCCTTGCCGAAGTATCACGCGCGCCTCGCTTGAACTTTTGCTCGCGGAGAAAGATCTCCAGTTTTGAATGGTTCCTTTGTGGCTCAATCTGTTTGTTTTAGTATTGCGGACACAAACTTCTAAGCGAGCCGTGAAGAGTGGAAGGCCTCTCATGTCAATGTATTCGACTCCAGGGCGTTCGTCGCTACAGGACAAGAGGCAATTAAAAGACCCGGTGGAAAAGGGAAAGGGAACTTAATGGCCAGCTGTCCTTGTGTTTTGGAGTGTGGGCCTGTAGCAACTAATAATAGATGAAGTTTGACATGTTTTTCTTGTGTTTCGACTGGACCTGCTGTGCCATTTAATTCAGCTTGTGTCGGGATACTTGCAGCAAGTGATCCCTTTGTGGCCAAATCTACATGTGACCACATGTAAATGTGTCTCTCTTTTTTAATGGCCCTGTAATCTAGGGCTTTTAAAATTCTCCATCGCTTGAAGGCATACAGCGAGCCGGAGCCACACAAGCTAGTTAGCTCAGTGTGGAGTGCTTGAATTTTCGAGCCTTGTTCAGATTCTTGCCCAGGTTTTCGCCTTCATTTTCAGCGAATGTAATACAGCGAAGATAAGATCTTTGCACTCAATTAACCCTGCAGGGCCTGCGAGCAAGCCTCATTAAGAAAACAGTCAAACACATTTATATTTAAGTGCCTTATTTATTTGGAATTTAGATCATATTTCTGAAGAAGAGATTTGTGTTCTTCCCATTCATTCTTTTACCAATGCAAAACATGGCTATAAATATAAATGTATGGGGTTCTTCCATTTTTCAATCTACTGAATTATTTGGGGTCAACATTCCCTATAGTCCTTCTTTTGCTTAAAACAGGACACTGTTGTTAAATGTAAATATTGTTCTTTCATTTCAAATCAGCCCTAATAAAATCCATAAGCTCCACCCCTTTGCTCTCCTCAGGCAGGTTCTCTCCTTTCTGATTTATTTTTTCAAGTGCTTTGAGAATTTTCTGTCAAATATTTTTGATACCTTTAAACATTTATGATGATAACTAGCAGAGCTGTTTCTCCTGAGATCAATCCTGCTAGAAGATTCTACCTCCCCAGTCAATAAAGCCAGCCTGATACATTCTCACACTTTTATACAGCTTGCCTTCTTTAAAAATAAGAAGTAAAATAAAATAAAATAAAATAAAATAAAATGGGCTAACAAATAAGACTACCAGCATACTAAGTGGGAAGATTCTATATCTGACTAAAACAGGGTGAGCTGAGTTTCTCAGTGGCTTGGCCACCCTCTCATTTTATGCATGTGTACACAAACTCCTAATGCCTCTGAACCTGCTAAATCAGAGATAAGTCCGAAAACAATCCGCCTGCAGTTGATACATTTTTTGAGGACCCTGCAGAGTAAATGCGTTTTAATTTTCAGCCTCAAAATGCGTTTACCTTCCTTTTAAAATAAGCTTGTTTCTGCATGCAATAAGCCACCAGCAGATACTGCTTATAAGAAGTGCATTTTACTTTGGATATCTTTAATTACCTGTTCTGTTACCTCTGAAATCCAGATATTTGCCTTGAATGTCAGGCTGGATCCAACGCCTTTTACCTGACGTACTTTAGGATTGGCTAAAGGGACAGTTTTCCACAACCATCGCTGGTGCCAACCCACCCATTTCCACATGTCTGCAGCGGGGTTATTTGTTTATTCATTTTTGCTCACCGGCATGAATTGTTTGACATTTCCCTTCTCCCTACCCTTCCCTCCCTCCCTGCATTTGCACCCTCCATTTTTATTTTATTTTATTTTATTTTGCATCCAAAGCCATCGCAACGAGGAAATCCGCACAGGACAGAAGCCTCTCTGTGAGATCAAGTCTCAACGTGATGCCCAAATATTTCGCTCACAAGTCTTGGCGGCCGGACAGTATGTAGCAAAGCAGGGCCAATTTCCCTAGCCCAGGATTAGTCAACAGCATGTCTAGCATTTCAGAAAATATTTTCCCACATTTGTCCGCCTGCAGTTTGAAAGGTGGAGCTGACAACATAAATGTGCCCTACGGTGCAAATCCTGATCCGTTTCTCTCTGGGATTTTTCAGCCCGTCCATTACATATGCAGATGCTTGCAATCAAGAGATCTCTGTGGGCCCTGGTAATTATTCCCTATACTTTGCCACTAGCAATAAAAATCCCACTTGCCGTAGCTTGTTTGCAGCCCAGCTCTCATTTCCACTGCGGTGGCATTAATTAGCAAAAACTTGTGAAAATGCTCGCAATTTATGAGCTTGGAACAGCAACAACAACACTCCACAGCATAGGAAGGGACTCCCTCGTACACAGTCCCCCGACAACTGAAGCCCCCCACAAACAAAACTCTCCAGGCTCCCAGCAATAAGCAGGAAATAATTGGAGCAGGGTGGGAGGCTATCTCAGTTTCCCATTAGGGGAGCTACTTCAATGAAGTTCCTATGCAGATGGATGGGAAGCTTCTCAGATAATAAATCAAATTCTCCTGACGGCCAAGTGGCATCACTTGTTGGGGTCTGGAGAGGTATTGCCTGCCCCCTATTTGAAGGCAGCAAGCCTCAGCCCCCAAGGATGCTGACCGAACTAGTCTTCCGTGAAAGACCGGGAGCTATTAGAGCAGCTATAAACTTTCCAGGCACTTTGGATTGCTGTCCTGCTGTGGAGAGTGCACTTTTCATCATCAATGACATCTGCCACCCACATAAAGAATAGAGACAGAGCAGGGTGGGGCGGGGCGGGGTGGGGGGTGAGAGAAGCAACTCCTGTGAATTTTCTTACATCAGAAGCTAGCTTCGGACTTTGTTTCTAACAGAGCTTTGGGGGGTTCCGTGCCGCAGGCTTCAAAAAAACTCCACACATTTCCATCCTCCTGTTCCTTTGCTGGGGTTGGGTGTCTGCTACAGATTTGTTTTTTGGCATCGAAAGCAAAACAAAACACATGTCAGCTTCCCGCTTTACAACTTTTATCCATTTTCTTCAGCAACGTTTCCAGCAAGCAGGAACGGAACTTATTTTATTCTAGCAAATATTTATTTTAAGCAAACAGCCCTGCCTTTGCGTACCAGTGTGTGCGTGTGTTTGGATTTTTCTCACCGTGCCCCTGAGAAAGATCGTATTATGAGTGCGGTGTACAGTTTAAAGTTTGCACATTCTGGTGTGTTTTACATCAGTGTGAGCTTGCTTACTGATCCATTTGTTACTGACCCATACTTCGTCTTAGCATGGGAAAGGGTGTGTGGTTAAGAGCACTATGTGAATATCGCCTCAATCTGAATACAGTGGTACCTCGGGTTACATACGCTTCAGGTTACAGACGCTTCAGGTTACAGACTCTGCTAACCCAGAAATAGTACCTCGGGTTAAGAACTTTGCTTCAGGATGAGAACAGAAATCGTGCTCCGGTGGCGCGGCAGCAGCGGGGGGCCCCATTAGCTAAAGTGGTACCTCAGGTTAAGAACGGACCTCCAGAACGAATTAAGTTCTTAACCTGAGGTACCGCTGTAGTTTACATAGTACCGTATTGGCCTGACTATAAGCCGCACCTTTAAAATTCAAGGCTTATTTGCAGGTGTGGCCCACCTCCCAGTACTACCACCCTGAACAGTGGACAGGGGTGGCTGGCGCTCCATGACCCCTCTCCCCAAACTGGTGCCTGTGCTCGGCTCCAAATATAAACCACACTTTAACTTTTCACAGTCGGAATTTGGAAAAAAAAGAGCGTAGCTTATATTCGGGCCAATATTGTAAAACCAGTACTGTTCACTGTCTTCTTGCTGAATATCTTTGGCCAACTCTTAGGCTGCAATTCTGTAACCATTTACCTGGAAGGAATCCCCAGCCGGGGCATAGTGGGAGTGGCACAGGGGCCCATAGCCCCCAGGCACACAATTTTAAGGGGGCATGAACCAGGCACTCATACGCAGGGATCCCCGTCCCACTCTGCCTACCGTCGGGGGTCTCTGCACCCCAGAGCCTGGCCTTTCTGCCACATCCCTGGCCCCCTCACTGAATGGCTGCTTGGCCAACATCAGGGGGATTTGCCCACCAAGGGCCGGGTCGGCCAGCTGGGAGCAGCCGGCTCCCCCTGCATGGGTGGGCAGGTGGCACAGCGCGGCCCTGCTTGGCTCCAGCGGTGACGGCTGAGCTGGCGCAACAGGGTCTGTGAACCCACTGTGCCCCGCTCCCACCTAGTGAGCAGGTGAGCCTCAGGTGCTGACAAATGCCGCAATGCAGCTGATCCCCAGTGCAACGCTGGATCCAGGGTAGGTGGACCCTTGGCATAGTGCCCTCAATGGGCAGCCACCCCAATACACGCACGTGCCAATGGCGGACCTTGGGCTTTCAAAGTACAGCAGCCCCATGCTTCTTGCCTTCCAGTCTAAATCATTGTTGCTTTGCCCTCTCAGCTTGGTGGCCAGTGTGGGTGAACCAGTTGTGCTCTCCTAAATCCACCTCTGCACACACAGACACACAATGTGGCCACACACACACACATATATATTGTGCCACAATCTATGTTGTTGTTGTTGTTGTTTTAATTTTTATTGATTTTAACATATAAATTATAAAATGTATCACTTATACAATCTTTTTATCCTTCCATCAGCACCTCTGATGATCCACCGTTTTAACCACTTCTTATGCATTTCTTAACTTTATATTGACTTTACATCTCTTAACAAATCATCCTTTCCCTTCTCCATTTTTGCAATACTTCCAATAATACTCCTCACAAAACTTCCTGCGTTGTTGTTTAGTCATTTAGTCGTGTCCGACTCTTCATGACCCCATGGACCAGAGCACGCCAGCCTCTCCTGTCTTCCACTGCCTCCCGCAGTTTGGTCAAACTCACATTAGTAGCTTCAAGAACACTGTCCAACCATCTCATCCTCTGTCGTTCCCTTCTCCTTGGGCCCTCAATCTTTCCCAGCATCTTCTCTTCTCATGATGTGGCCAAAGTACTGGAGCCTCAGCTTCAGGATCTGTCCTTCCAGTGAGCACTCCGGGCTGATTTCCTTCAGAATGGATAGGTTTGATCTTTTTGCAGTCCATGGGACTCTCAAGAGTCTCCTCCAGCCCATTTTGGATAAATTGAAATGGGCAGCCACCATGGCTCCTGCTCAAAAGCAGTAGCACCACCCTTCCACAGTAAAAGTGGCTGGGAGGATGATAATAAGCTTTCTTCAGCACTGGTGATAAGATGGCATCTTCCACCACACCTGAGGGCAGCAGCCTTGCCAAGAGGGCTTAGACCACAGCACCACCCTCTTGGGCTTCCCAATCGGAAGGTTGGCAGTTCGAATCCACGTGACGGGGTGACCTCTCATTGCTCTGTCCCAGCTTCTGCCAACCTAGCAGTTTGAAAGCATGCCAGTCCAATAGATAAATAGGTACTGCTGTGGCAGGAAGGTAAACAGTGTTTCCGTGCACTCTGTCTTCCATCATGGTGTCCTGTTGCGCCAGAAGCAGTTTAGTCATGCTGGCCACATGACCCAGAAAGCTGTCTGTGGACAATCGCCAACTCCCTCAGCCTGAAAGTGAGATGAGCGCTGCACCCTATAGTCGCCTTTGACTGGACTTAACCATCCAGGGGTCCTTTACCTTTAAGAGGGCACACACAACTCTGTCCTCCAGGATCTTTCCACTGCTGCCTGCCCCCCTATATTTGTTGCCCGAGGCATCTGCCTGAGGCTTCATAATGGTAGGGCTGGCCCTGTCCCAGTTAGGACTGCTCTCCGAGACGATGCTAGCACCAAAAGCTTCAGTGGGCTGTGGTCAATATGGCTTGAAGTGAAGTTGGGAAGAATCAGGCCATGTTCACATGTTTCTGCCAATTAAAATTAATGAGAACCACCTTGGAGTTACAGGACAAGGTCTGTGGCTGAAACCTTTGTACACTAATAACCTTGTCAACAGTTCAGGGTGAAATGCAGCTGAACTCAGTTATGCAGAGGCCCTTATTAGCTGGCTTTTCTATTTTCCTCTAAGCAAATTCTCCTTGGGTGCATTTTAACCTTCTATTATTGGTAGTGTCAAAGCAAGAGTAACCTCTTTAGAAAGAGGGGGCAGGCGGTGTAGATGATCGCAAACATATTGAGGATTCCTTCATATGGAGCCAGCATTGTTTTCCTGGAACTAAGTGACTACAGTCATACTTCCTCAACGCCCTGTAGTAGTAGCTTCATATATATATATTCATTAAATTTTCTGTTTTACAATTTAAAGTACTCATTTTTACATACTTAAAATATCAGTGACTTCCCTTCTTCTCTTTCCATGGTTCATTTTACATATAATGAATCCCTGCATATTTTACAGAAACAATACCATGCAGTATTCCATTAACTCATCCATCAAAACTTATGCACACTGTTGAATTTATCTTAATGCTGCCAGCGTTTTCAGCTGTACACTGTTATTTCCCGTATATTCAATCAACGTTTTCCAATCTTCTCCAAACTTATGTTCTTCTTATTCTGTATGTTAAGTCTGCAAGCTGTGCATATTCTGTCAACTTGAGTTGCCATTATTCTTTGGTTGGGACCTCACTCATTTTCCATTTTGGGGCCATAGTCGTAGCTTCAAGAACCTCCATAGACAAGCATTAAAATGATAGGGCTCTTTTCTAGGCCCAGTTCCTCCCAATCCGTATTTTCCCCTCAGTTTCACTTCCTATGCTACTTCCAGTAATTTCAGTATCCATCCATCAATATCATTTTATTCTTCTGAAACACATTAATCTGTGCTCCTGTAGGAGTTCTAGTTTCTTCACGGGTGAGATGTGGTCTAATTTTCTCCATTTTATATCTTTGCAATGTGTCAGTAACTGCCGTGGTCTTGTGGGAATCCCTTGCAGGCAACCACGGAGCCTGGAGAAAAACAGTCCAGTTGTGTATCCACAGCAGTGACCACAGGAGGAATGACCGCCGGGAGAAGCACAGAGAGAAAAAACACCATGGTGCATCTGCAGCAACACAACCGGACACCTTCATCTGCCGCTGCTGCAACAAAACAAGTCTTTCCCATGTTGGTCTCTACAGCCACAGGTGCTGCAACCTTCCAACAGTTTGACACGACCCCTTATCATATATGGTGGTTTTGTAGTACAAAATTTATTCATGTATGAGACTACAGTGGCAAGAATGTTTCTTGCCCAAAAATGGAAAGAAGAAGGAGGTCCAGCAAAAGAAGAATGGATACAAAAACTTACGGAGTATGCAGACTTGGGAGTCTCTGATTTGACTTGAGACATCTTGTTAATAGTTCCGTCTGACCCCTTCCCCTTCCATTATTACAGGTGCCCCAGAAAGTTAATTTTCATTGCTTGGGGTTGAGGTTCATGAGTTGCCTTATGACTCTGGGTGACTGTCACAGGGACAAGTACAGGCGAGCATTGCTACTCCTCTCCAAATTACCTTCTCTCTTCCTCTCCAAGTGCTGGGTGCTTCCTCCTGTCCTTCCTCTCTTCTTCTGTAGTCTCCTCTCGGCTGTTCTACTGCTGCTTTGCCCATCAGTTGCTGCCTAGTCTATCTCTTCTCTCTAGTCTGCCCTCAACCTGAGACAGCTACTGGACTTTGAAGGTTCACCATTGAATCTGGGGTGCCAGGCTATACTTGCATCTACCATCTGCACACACAGCCTGCTGTGATCTGGTTTTTTCTTACCCTCTCCTGGCCATTGTGACCTCATGAGGATGCTGCCTCCCTGAAGGAGAGAGAGATTGGCCATTGTGACCTCATGTTGATAGTGGCCAATGAAGGAGAGAGACTGGTCTTTGTGTCCTCGTGCTGATGTTGTCCACTTGAAGGAGAGAGATTGGCCATTATGATCTCATTCTGGTGCTGATAATAATGTGAATCATGAACAATAATACAGGGCATTATAGGAACATTATTTGGGAATTATAGGGACAGAACTACCCGAACTGTATAGAAATTTATTCATGTATGCGACTACAGTGGCAAGAATGTTTCTTGCCCAAAAATGGAAAGAAGAAGGAGGTCCAGCAAAAGAAGAATGGATACAAAAACTTACGGAATATGCAGAAATGGCGGAATTTAACAGAAGAGTAAGAAATCAAGAGAAGAAACTTTTTTTTATAAAAGAATGGAAATGGTTTGTTGAATATTTACAAACAAACTGTAAACAGATAAGAACATTGGCAGGATTATTGTAATAACCTGCAGTTTCATAAGAGTATATAGTTAAAGTAGATGAATAAATGAGCAAATTAATGTGGATATGCAGAAAATATTAAAAATAAATTCAAGGAACCGCAGAAAGAGGGGGAAGGAAGTCAAGTTTTGAAATCTTAAAATGATTTTAAAATTATTGAAATGTATAAAATTGGAAATCATAAACAAAATAAAAAATTTAAAAAAAAAATTGATGTCACCCCAAAGCTGCACTCCCCCATTATCTCCAAAGACAGGAGGATGCCAATCAGTAGTCGTAATTGTGTAAGTGACCATTGTAAGTATTACTATTTGACCTTATGGATCAGTATTTTATTAATTATGATCTAGTGCTGCAAGTTATCAGGGTCATTTCGTATTTTAATCGTGTCCTCTAGAGTAGAGGTAGCAAATCTGTGACCCTCCCAAATGCTTGCTAGACTGCAACCCCCATCAGCCCTGATGATTTTCTATACTGGCTGGAGGATCATAGATCCTTCATCGCTGCTTTATAACCTTCCCAGTTCTTTTTGGCTTTACAGTGGTACCTCGGGTTACATACGCTTCAGGTTACAGATGCTTCAGGTTACATACTCCACTAACCCAGAAATAGTACCTCAGGTTAAGAACTTTGCTTCAGGATGAGAACAGAAATTGTGCTTTGGCGGCGCAGCAGCAGCAGGAGGCCCCATTAGCTAAAGTGGTACCTCAGGTTAAGAACAGTTTCAGGTTAAGAACGGACCTCCGGAACGAATTAAGTTATTAACCCGAGGTACCACTGTATATCATTTCCAAAGTCAGCGAGCATACTTCCTGTATCTTCACCACATCATCAGGAAGATTATTGAACAGTACTTGAACCAGACTATAATAGATCATTATTTCACAACGTTATTCCAGTTTGATCCATTACTACTGTCTGGATTTGAGGTTCAGCTCACAGTGCATTGCAATGCATGTTTCCCAACTTACTAATGGAAATGTCTTGTGGAACTCATTGAAATCAAAATATATTGCAGCTGCTCAATCTTCTTATTTACTAAGACAATCCCATTGTCCAAAAAAAAAGCTGTAATCTGCTCATAATTACTTGGGAGGTAAAGTAAACATGTTTTAGTCTGATTCTCTCTCAGCATCCTAAGGGATATAAAAATTCCACTACATTCTTGAGAATGCTTGAACGAGCCCTGAGTTTTGTATTTAAACCTACTGGAAGTTCATGCTTAGTTCAGGTTCAGCTGTGTGAGAGAAGAGTCTGCTCACTGGCAGTTCTAAGTGATGATTAACTAAAACATATTTCTGGGTTAAACATTGATTTTTATTCATGTCTCAAATTGCCTTTTAAGTGGCATTGTTGCAACAGAAAAAGAGCACCTATCTCTAGCTTTAGCATTCCCAGAAAAGAATGGCAAGCATGCCAAACAAATTGGCTCCTGTGGTTATTAGAAGCTTTTTAAATAAATTGACAGTATAACTATATTCATTCTATGGTAGGTCTTTGGCTACAAATTTGTGCAACAACGACAACAGGGCTATTTAAAATGAAAGGAATTTTACAAAGGCCTTGACAAAATTATATTTCTTCTTTACATATCAGAGGTGTTATCTTCCATGTATTCTGCCTCCCCTGTCCATAATTATGTTTTGACTATAAAATCATGAATCATGACTGCCACTCACATATTTTCCTTTCTGGTCCATCCTGTTTTAAAATAATAATTTACCAAATGCTTGGGATTCGTCGCCTCAGGCATGCACAAAGGGATATAGTATGAGAGAAAGCCCAGGGCCTTCAGCTACCTCACCAAATCATGGTTCGTGCCAAACCTACTCTAGAACCCAAACCATGGCTTCAGCTCCCAAACAATTTATTTATTTATTTGGTTTTCAGATTAAAGTTTTACAATCACATATCCAACATACAACATAAAAACAAGATTCCCAATAATCTCCTGGACTTCCCTCCTCCCCTTTGTGGGTCCTATTGTTAATCATTTTCCCCTGCATCTTTTATGATAATCCACATCTATTACATCCCCATTATACCCAAAATTCACCATTGAACTACTAGTGCTATTCCAACCCTACTAATGATTTTAACTGTTTACAATGGTTTTTAAGATAAATTATCAATTTTCCCCATTCCTTATTAAAATTTTGGTCTCCTTGATTTCTGATTCTTCCAGTCATTTTAGCTATTTTGGCATAATGCATCAACTTAATCTGCCATTCTTCTCTGGTAGGGACTTTATCTTCTTTCCATCTCTGGGCCAATAACATCCACGCAGCCATGGTCGCATATATAAATAGTCTTTTCTGCTCCCTTGGGATTTCGGCACCTAGAATTCCAAAAAGAAAGGCTGCGGGTTTTTTAGAAAAAGTTATTTTAAACATTTTTTCCAACTCATTCTATATCATTTCCCAAAGTTCTTTTACTACCTTACATTTCCACCACATATAATGAAAGGTGCCTTTCGCCTTACTTTCTCACATTTGATGACTTCTGGCACTGCTCTCTTCTTACTGCCAGAATTGAAGCCAGGCTGGGAAAATGCTACATGAGAATGCAATGAGTTTTCAGGTGGAGTCCAGTTTCCCTCACCCACCCACCCCCCTTTTCTGTTAGACACCCCATCCCTTTATACGTAAATAGAGAATACACATATTTTTTCCCCTGCAGTTCGGAGCACATACTCAACCTATCCATTCTGAAGGAAATCAGCCCTGAGTGTTCACTGGAAGGACAGATCCTGAAGCTGAGGCTCCAATACTTTGGCGACCTCATGAGAAGAGAAGACTCCCTTGAAAAGACCCTCATGTTGGGAAAGATGGAGGGCACAAGGAGAAGGGGACAACATAGGATGAGATGGTTGGACAGTGTTCTCAAAGCTACTAACATGAGTTTGACTAAACTGCGGGAGGCAGTGGAAGACAGGAGTGCCTGGCGTGCTCTGGTCCATGGGGTCACGAAGAGTCAAACATGACTAAACAACTAAACAACAACAACAAATAGCAATAGCACAGTAGGAATTGCCCTCCCGATGCTGTTAGACTCCAACTCCTATGAGCCCTAGACATCCTGGACAGTGATCAGGGATCACGGGATTTGGAATCTTGCAATATTCAGTTGCATGAATAGTTGCATTTTCATTTACGGCATTTTCAACCAAAGGGGTTTTTGTTTTGTTTTTTAAAGAGTTATAAGCCTTTTCCTTCCCAAATTCATTCTGTGTACTAGTATGTTGAAATTGTCTTGCAGGCAATTTATGGCAACTGGTGTTCTGTAACTGCTATTGCTGTCAAGCACAACTTTTGACCTGTAATACAGCGAGCCGACCGTTTTAAATACAAATTGAGATAGCCAGCTTACAGCAATCTCCATTTCTCATTCGAGTCGAGGTTCTCAACAGGCCGCAAAGGGATGGCAGATTTGCCAGTATTTCGTTTCTCTCTCCTTCCCTCTAGAAAACCTATAAAGCAACCGTGCAGATTTTGAGGTTGATTGGGCTTTGCAACGACGGCCCTTGTTTCCCCCCGCTGCGGGTTTGGTTCCTGGATCCCAATGCTTATGCAATAGAAAAGTCCTCGCCTACAGAAAACCTTCTCATTAGAGCCCTAATCTGCTCCTCTGCGTTCTTGTGAGATGGAATTATCCCACTTTAAGAGCATACCTCGGCCGTGAGCAGCAATAAGACCGATAAAAACAGCTTAAGTAATTGGATTGCTATATGGTATTGAGTTTCTGACAACAAATGATATCCATCTCTATTCCGCCGCCGCATCTTTGTTCCTGCAATGAATTCGTTTAGCAATGCACTTGCAGGGAGACAGTCTCTGTAGGGGGGAGAGAGAGAGAGGGGGAGGGAGAGGTTGGGGGACACAAAGACAGAGCCATCTGATGAGTACAGAGAAAGCCACTGTGCCCTTCCAAGAAGTTAATTACAGGGAACAAAAGCAGCAGACTATGACTTGTTGATCATTACCATAATCACATTACTACACTCATTGCTCGTTCCCAGCAGCAGTGCGCCTTTTCTTCCTTTTGTTTGACACTTCTGCATGTCATTAATTGCATCGGAGAAGCATGGGGAGTGGGCGAGATTCCTGGTGGGAGAAACCATTGCAAAATATATGTGGGAATCCACTGGGCATTTTAACTAAATCAGTCTCTCTCCCTCCTCCCCCCACCTGCCTCTGCCCACAACACGCCTCCCTCTGCAAAATCGAGAAGAAAATACAGAGGAGTCCTTCGCTTTTACAGCTGGCCGTCATCGTTTTCACTCTTTCTGCCAAGAAAAGGGAGAGATTTATATGGAGAAAGGGAAACACCCATAAAATTGTCAGATCCTTTTATGGCACAGACTTTCTAGGTTACAATAATAATATATGTAACCTTTGCTTTCATGAGAGCAATGTTCTTCTGAGGCAAGTTCTACCTTCAGCAATGGCAATCTCATGCCATTAGATCTTTGATAGCCGAGGTGTT